GCAGGGCCCAGAATTGGCCACTTTTGCAAATGTCATCAGCCACGTGTAGGAGGCAGCCCGGGAGCCCGCCCAGAGCGGCCGGGCCACCCCAGGCAGCTGTCCAGTCAGCGCCGGCCCCGGGCTTTTCGGTTGCGATGGGGTTTTGATTCCGATGCCCACTTCCACGCAGGCGATGCAGAAATACGGGGTAGTCGTCACCGACAGTTGGCTCCTGAGCTGCACGCCGAAGAACACGCGTAAGCGCCCTCTCCTTCACGCCGTGTGCCACGCTGGCGGCGCGCGTAAGCCGCCGCGTAAGGTCGCTATGTACCTCGCGCAAGACCCGCTTCTTTTCGTCGCTCACGTGACAACCACGCAGCAACTGGCGGGCCAACCGCGGCACAGCCACAGGACAGTCAGTGCACACGCCACGGGGCAATCCGCGGGACATCTCACGAGACAACCACGGGGCAATCCGCGGGACGGCCACGGGAAGACCACGGGTGCATCCTCGAGAGAACCTGCCGGACAGCTGCGGGCGGACGACCCGAGGGACAGCCGCGCGCGGCAACGCGACGTCGCATCGTCGCTCTCGCGCGGCTTCGCAGCGCACCCACGCGCAGCACGAGCCGAAAGCGAAACCGAGACTGGAGCCGGTGTCTCTCCTGGCTGCGGCCGCTGCGTTCCTGCGTTCGCCGGTGGTGCCCTCGGGAGTGCTCCGCGGAGGCGCCCCGTCGTGTTGCCACGCTGTTGCCCGCCCCCCCTGCCCCTGCAAGGTCCCGCCCGAGAGGACGCCGCGCCCCAAAACCTCGGCCCTTGATCATCTCAGAGAGGGCTATACACTCTAGGCGATGCCTAAGAAAACTTAAGTTTTCGTCCAGAGTCTCGATTATTCTTAACGTCTCAATGTAAATCTTAAGATTTTCATGGAAACGTTGGGTGTTTATCCAAGTTCTGAGACTGTGAATTTCTTAACCCATGATTTCTTAAGCATTTCGCAGGGTGTACAGTAAACCCGCACAGGAAGGATGATCGATTTCCCAAGGTTGCCCTTTGTGTCCTTCCCCTGCGGCCCCTCCTTGGTCGCGTGCGCCGACCGCGCTCCGCTCGCAGCGTGTCGGCATGACCCTCCGAGGCCCTTGCATCCTTACACCCTAGGCGATGCTTAAGAAAACGTAAGGTTTCGGCCAGAGTCTTGATTATTCTTATTGTTTAAATGGAAAACCTAACTTTTTAATAGAATTGTTGGGCTTTTATTCAAGTTCTGAGACTATGAATTTCTTAACCCATGATTTCTTAAGCATTTCGCAGGGTGTATGGCGCATCCTTATGATGATACGGGTTGACTGTATGGCGTGGATGGGTGGGAAATGATGGTTCACGAAGCCAGCTGCGCACGCAGCGCTGCCTCCGAATCCGCCGCGGGGCACCTCCCTGGGCACACGGTCGCCTCTGGCGCCGGGAAGCGCCGGGGAGACCGGCTACGCGTGGCCGATCCGTGACCCTCCTTTCGGCGTCACCCCAACATACTCATACTATGTGTGCGTCGCCCCCCAGGGGCGACGCGCGCACCGAGAAATCCTGCAGTATATGCGTCGTGGCGGGCGCCTTCTGGCCACACCGCTCGGGAAGCGACATACTGCACAATGGGTATACCGCATATTCGGGTCGGAGGCGCGCCTCCAGGGAGGACCTATGGTACCAGCATGTCTCTGTGCGTCCCCTCCTTGTGCTGCCCCCCCTCGATGGTACCAGTATGTCTCTCTGTGCGTCCCCTCCAGGGAGGACCTATGGTACCAGCATGTCTCTGTGTGTCCCGTTCGTCCGCCTCGAGATGGGGCCACGGATCGGCCCCCGCGAGACGTCTTCAGGGGCGCGCTCCGCTCAGGATCTCGCGAGGGGAGCCCGGCCGTGGCAGCGGGAGTGGCGCGGAGGCCCCGGAGGCACTTCAGCAGCTCGAGCCTCGAGGAGGAGGAGGAGGAGGAGGAGGAGGAGGAGGAGGAGGAGGAGGAGTGGAGGAGGAGGAGGAGGAGTGAGGAGGAGGATGTAGGAGGAGGAGGAGGAGGAGGAGGAGGAGGAGGAGGGAGGAGGAGGAGGAGGGAGGAGGAGGAGGAGGAGGAGGAGGAGGAGGAGGAGAGGAGGAGGAGGAGAGGAGGAGGAGGAGGAGGAGGAGGAGGAGGAGGCACCACTACTGCTCGGGCAATTCAATTCCAGGGGGGGATAGATTCAGGGGTGGATGCGTCTATCGACCTCCAATCGCCCACTGATCGCCGATGGGGGCCCGACAGCTCGCCCCGCCCAGGAACGCACGATTCGTTATCGAGAGCCTATCGCCGATATATCGGCGATGTGCCGCCGATTCGAGCTCGACGTTCCCGTTTCCGCTCCATCCCTGAGCCCGTCCCCCCCTGATGTCGCGCCTCAACTGGTGTCCCCTCCCCACGCGCCCACCCCGATCCTCGATCGTCGATCAGGATCGTCAAACCTCTCCCCATCCCCACCGTGCCATGGTATCGCATCCCCCCCCCAGTTGGGGATGATCCCCTCGAAACCCAAAGGGGGCAGCCTATATCCCTATCTGGGGGGTAGATCGGCCAGTGGGACCCTGGCCATGCCAGTGGGGATGAGGATTTGTTAAACCAGCATCACCCAAACATACTGATCCTATCTAATGGCCTGTGGCCCATCCCGCCACCGTGCCTGGGTTGTGGGTATGAATCCTATTGCATGTTCGTAGGGATCTCGTGGGAGGCCTCTCGGGGGCTTTTTGGAGGCAGTTTGGAGGCCTCTAGGGGGCTGTTTTGGACCTCTTGTGGCCTCTTTTGAGCCTCTTGGGGGCCTCTTGGGGCCTCTTGGGGGTCTCTTTGGGGCCTCCTGGGCACGTCTGGGGACCTAGGGGCCTCTTAGGGCGGAAGGCTCGGATTCTCGGTTCGTGATCGCTCTCTTGGGCCCCTTTCTGGGGACGTCTTGGGGCCCTCGTGGGCTGTCTTGAGGCCCTCTTGGGCCGTCTCAGGGCCCTCTTGGGCCGTCTATGGGCTCTCTTTGGGGCCTCCTGGGCCGTCTTGGAGCAGTCTTAGAGGCCTCTGCCTCTTGGGCCGTTCTGGAGCGTCAGAAAGCCGAACAGGCGAGAAGGCCAAAAACCTTGGAACAAAACGCACGAGAATCGACGACGTTGCCCTCTTAGGGGCCCCCTTCGGGGCCCTCTTCGGAGGCTTCGTGGGGCGTCTTGGGGACCTCTTGGGGTCGTCTGGCGCTCATCTTGGGCGTCTCGGGCCGATCTTGGGGAGGCCTCCCGGGCCCCGCCGCCTCTCCCCGCGTGACCCTTGGGGCCCTCTTGGCCCGGCTTGGGGCCCTCTTGGGGCCGAGGAGGACCCCGCGCGCCACCGCTCCCCCGAAGCCCAGGGGGCACGCGCCGGGCCCCAGGAGCTCTCGGAAGTTGGGCCCCCGAGCGGCACGGTGGCGGATGTGTGCGCCGCCCCGCCGGGGGCGGCGCGCGCGCGCGCGCCGAGAAAGCTGACGGTACGTCGTCGTGGCCGGGCGCTTTCTGGCCATGCCGCCTGGGTGAGAATATGCTATGAGCTGCTTGCGCTACCTGTGCGGTTCGGGCGTGCTCCTCCAGGGGGGGCGCATAGTATTGATATGTCCCTCTGCAGCATGGCGGCGAGAGGCAAGGCACCTCCAGTGGTCGCCCTGTGGCTTCGAAGGCTGTCCGCCCTGGCACATTTTGTTGTTGTAGCAGGTCTTCGCCCCATCTGCTGCAAGACATTTTCGTCGGGGTTGAAGGGGGGACACAACCAGTTCAGTCGGCTTGCGCCGCGTTGACGCGGCGGCGACCCCAGCACGGGCGTTCAAGGTTGGACGCCGCCGGTGGCCTGGAACCAGCCAGTGTCGAACGATTTGCGCTACCGGGAAGCCGCGATCGTTCAAGGACGGGGTGTCAGAGACCAGCGCCGACGCCATCGCGACGCGAGCCTGTCGTTTGTCCTTCTGTGGCCTACCAAGACGGTGCTCAGCCGACTGGCTTGTGCTGCCCTCTCGGGGCCAGCCGCTCCCCTCCCCCCTCTTGGGGACCTCTGGGGCCTCTTGGGGCGGAGAGCTGGACACATCGGTCCGTGCTTCCCAGGCCCCTGACGTCGTGATTTTTTCGCAGCGTCGACCCCCAGACGTCTGGACCCCTTCCGCAGGACCGGTTTTTCATCCCGAGTCTGTTCTTGGCGGTCCCGAGGCCCAGGAAGGGCCCCCAGAGGCCGAAAATAGCGAAAAACCTCCCGTCGTGAGGGATTCTGGCTTTCCCGCCGGGACCCCTCTTGTGGCGCTCTTGCCGTCGCCTGGGGGCTCGTGGAGGGGGGGTGGTCCCTGAGATCCCGGCGTTGCATTTTTTCACAGCGGACGTCTTCGCCCCGCTTCGGGCGCCGGGACCCCCACAGATCGATCCGGCTCGAAACATGACGCAGCAAGATGGGGTTCTGGGGCTGTGGTTGTGCTTGTCGGCGAGGTTGAGTTTTTTTTCAACGCGTCGTGCTTCGCAGCAGCGCCGTCGGAAGCGTGCAGCCGACTGCCGTTTCACCTTTGTCAGTGCATCCGTGATTTCCACGGCATCTCTCTCTCTCTCTCGCTCTCTCTTTCTCTCTCTCTCTCTCTCTGTGCTCTTCCGATAATCTAGGCTTCTTAGCTGGGTTCGGAGTACATGGGGTCGGGGGATCGCGCCGCACCGCCGAGGCATCGGCGATGCGGGGCCCGATCTCCTCCACGCCGGCGCCGCCGATGCGTCGGCGATGCGGCGCGGTCCTCCGACCCCCCCCTGCTCGGACCCCCCCCCGGGAGGCCCCTCCGGACGACACCTCGGCCCCACCGAGAGCACCTCGGCAGGCCGCTCTCCGCTGGGCCCCCGCCGGCCGGCGCCCGCGCACTCCCCTTCCAGGCCTTCTGGCCCGAGACCCGGCGCCCCGCGGCGGCCCCCCGCCCCGCGGGCCCCCTCGGCGCCCCTCCCCTCGGCGGCCCTCCCCGCGCGGCGGGCGGCCATGGAGGTTGCCCGGCAGGAGCAGGCCCGGCGGGCGAGGGCCTCGCGCCGGGTGCGGGGGCCAAGCCCCTGCAAGCGGGGCGTCCTCCTCCTCCTCCTCCTCCTCCTCCTCCTCCTCCTCCTCCTCCTCCTCCTCCTCCTCCTCCTCCTCCTCCCTCCTCCTCGTCCTCCTCCTCAGGAAAGGGGCCGATAATTAGCTGCGGGTGCGTTTTCCGTGGTGGTTTCGAGAGGCGGATCCGCCGCGCAGAAGTGCGAGGCCCCCCCCCCCCGCGCCCAGAGTTGCGATGATGTATCGACGTTTTTATTGTCCCGATTCATCGCGCACTATTGCGAGGTAATTGCCCTGTCTCCCCGTTCTCGCTTGAAGAGGCCCCTCAGCGACCGCCCCGTTTACTAACTGCCCTGTTTGCAGGGACTTGGGGAGGAGGAGGAGGAGGTCCGAGGAGCAAGAGGTCCTGGTGATGATACGTTCCAGGACTTCAAGGCTTCCAGGATTTCCCATATCTCCTGGTGTCTGGCACCGGCTGCACCGCTAGATACTCTGGAGATCCTGGGGCGTATCGTGAGCCAGTCTCATCATGATTTCATTCTCGCCCCAGCAAGGAGGGTCCTCAGAGAGATTGGGAGGAGGAAGAGACAGGGAGACGCGTCCTGGGCTTCTCTTGGCGCTCTTTGGCGCTGCCGTGGCCCTCTCCAGCCTCCCCTGGGGCCGTCAAGAGGACGTTCGGGACGAGGACATCTGGTCCCGGGGAGTGTGGCCTCCCTGGCCCGTCTCCTTCGAGTGAGGACAGCACAGCCTCCCCCTCCCCAAAGCAAGGACGCCCACTCCCGACCTGGATCACCAGGTCGGGTGTGGGGGCCCTCTGCTGTGTGAGCTGGTGCGTCGTAATTCATTGCTTATGTTTCACTGTTGTATCTTTACGCGCACATTGATTGACTGTCCTCTCTCCGTCCTCTGTGTGTGTGTGTCTCTCTCTCTCTCTCTCGCTCGCCTGTGCCTTGCGTCACGCCACCCATTTTCACCCATAGCGGCGCCCCGGTGCCCGCTTGCTGTGCCCCCGCGGCACCTCGACTGCAGGCCGAATGTCCGAATGTCCGAATGGGGGTGGGCTGTCCTGCCCTCGCTCGAGGCCCTGGAGCCGCCGCGGAGGGCCCCGATCCGGAGCCGACGGGTGGGGCCCCCCGCCGCGTGCGTGCACAGGTGGCCGCGCCCGGGAGGCCTGCCGTCGGGGGACCCGCGGCATCATCGCGGATCCGCTCCCGACAGCAGGCTGATCGGAGGTGGACAGACCTCCTACCCTGACACGTCGATTGAGGAATTGGTTGTTTTTGGTTCGCGGGAGGGCGTCGCGGCCGTCATGTTTGCGGGTCCAGGTCCGTCGGTTTCGGTCCTACGCCGTTTTCACTAAAGGGAGGTTTACTGAAGGGAGGTTTGTCCACCGCCGAGTCGGGGGCGTCCAGGAGGGGTGTGTGAAGACCAGGGGTGTGGACACTGGGGCCGGCAGGGGTTTGAGGAGGCCCAGCATTGGTTCAGGCCAGCAGGAAGCGGGGGCAGGTTCGAGGTTCTGGGCTTGGGAAGGTTTTTGGCCACTTTGGGCCTCCAGGGACCGTTTGCAGGCGCCGGGACCGTCAGAAACGGATTCATGGGGAAAAATTGCACCAGATGTACCGCGGGAGGGGGCCAGGGACAGAGTTTGAGCGGATTTGGCTTCACCCTCGCTCCTGGCCGATTTTCTGGTGTCCAATGCAACCAGTTCAGACCCCCCGGCCGTCGCCCCCAAGGAACACCATTCAGGGGCAACGTTAGGGGGGGGGAATTGGCTCGCAGGGGATGCAACGACCCCGAATCGCCAACTCTTCGTCGATGGGGGCCTGAAAGCCCACCCCGCCGAGGAACACACGGACTCGCTATCGAGAGCCCATCGCCGATCTATCAGCGATGTGTCGCCGTTCCGATGTTCCCAGTCCCCCGCTAACGTTCCCCCTCATGATCAGGGGTGTGTGGACACCGTGGCTGGAGCCATGAATTCTTCAAGATTTCATGGGCCCTTCTTTTCTGCTTCCGATACGTTCCCTGGCCCCCCTTGTCCGCGCACGTGCCTCGGGCCATGATGCGCTAAGTAGCGCCCTCCTCCTGACCCCCCCTTGCAACCCGAAGACCCAGACATGCGATGTCTGGAATTTTCAATGCGCCGTCCCCGGAAGTCCCGACCCCTCTTTAGGGCCAGTTTTTCACCCTGAGCCGTCTTTTGACGGCCCCAGGGCCCCGCTGAAAGCGACGAACAAATAACAATTTATCCCAGTGCGACCCTACCTAGGAGTTGGAGCCTCCAGGAAAGCAACATTAGTAGGAGCGGTAAACGCCGTCCTCCTCCTTCTCCTCATCGTCGTATTCGTAGCAGTAGCGGTAGTAGTAGTAGTAGTAGTAGTAGTAGTAGTAGTAGTAGTAGTAGTAGTAGTAGTAGTAGTAGTAGTAGTAGTAGTAGTAGTGCCAGAACCGTCTGCCTTGCCTTTGCTTTTGCATCTGCTAAACAGCAAAGGCAAAGTTCAGGACATGCGACAATACGTCGGGTTTCATGTCTCCCGGCCGGTGCTATGTGCGAAACCTTCGTGAATCCTAAGGGATCAAGCTGCTCCACTAAGGGCTCAAGACGGCCCACAGACGGACAACATGCATGGAACATACGTGCGAACACATATTATATATATATATATATATATATGTATACACATGTATATATATATACACATATAGCAGCAGCAATAGTGGATGCAGTGCTGCGCTATGCTATGCTATGCTATGCTATGCTATGCTATGCTATGCTATGCTATGCTATGCTGCGCAATGCTATGCTGGGCCAGGCTAGGCTAGGCTAGGCTAGGCTATGCTATGCTATGCTATGCTATGCTGCGCTATGCTGAGAGCGTGTTCTACCGTTGCTGGTAGAAAACCGGGGGGGGGGGTCGCTGGGGGTTTCCAGCCCGTCCCCTCCTCCTCTCGAAAACCGGGGGGTGTCACTGGGGGTTCCACCCCCCCATCCCCCCCCCCTCGGTCCATCATGAAAAGGGGGGTGGGTCACTACCAGTTCGAACCCCTCCGCCCCTCCCCCTCCTGGAAAACTGAAGAGGGTTACTACCGGTTCGAGCCCCCCCTCCCTCCCCCCTCCCCCCTCGCCGCAACTACTCCCCTTCCTCTCCCACTCCTGATGGGGGACTGGTGGGGACAGTGGTTGGAACGGTGATGGGGATGGTGGTGGGGAGTGGGGACAGTGGGAAGAGTGGGACCGTGGTGCGGACAGTGGTGGGAACAGTGGGGGCAGTGCGACAGTGGTGGGGACACTGGCGGGGACAGTGGGGACAGTGGTGGGGACAGTGGGGACAGTGGGACAGTGGTGGGGACAATGGGGACAGTTGGACAGTGGTGGGGACGGTTGTGGTGGGGAAAGCAGTGGGACAGTGGTGGGGACGGTGGTGGTGGTGGGGACAGTGGTGAGGGCGGTGATGGGACAGCGGTACAGTGGGGAGTGGTGGGGACAGTGGGGACAGTGGGACAGTGGTGGAGACAGTGTGGACAGTGGGGCAGCACACTGGGACAGCGGTGGGGACAGTGGGAACAGTGGGACAGTGTTGGGGACAGTGGGGACAGTGGGGACAGTGCGACAGTGGGGGGACGGTGGTGGTGGGGACAGTGGTGGGGACAGTAGGAACAGTGGGACAGTGGGGGGGACGGTGGTGGTGGGGACAGTGGGACAGTGGGACAGTGGGGGCATTTTGGACAGTGGGGAGTTGGGTGAGTGGGATCGTGGTGGGGACAGTGGTGGGGACAGTGGGGACAATGCGACAGTGATGGGGGCACTGGTGGGGAAAGTGGGGACAGTGTTGGGAACAGTGGGGACAGTGGTGGGAACAGTGGGGACAGTGCGACGGTGGTGGGGACAGTGGGGACAGTGGAACAGTGGTGGGGACAGTGGGGACAGTGGGGAGTGGGGTGAGTGGGATCGTGGTGGGGAAAGTGGTGGGAACCGTGGGGACAGTGGTGGGAACAGTGGGGACAGTGGGACAGTGGTGGGGACGGTGGTGGTGGGGACAGTGGTGAGGGGACACTGGGACAGTGGTGGGGACAGTGGGACAGTTGTATGGACGGTGGTGGTGAGGACTTGTGTGAGGGCGGTGGTGAGGACGGTGGTGGGACAATGGGACAGGTGTACAGGGAGGAGAGTGGTGGGGACACTGGGGACAGTGGGACAGTGGTGGAAACAGTGGGACAGCTCAAGGGGCCAGCGGCGGGAATGGTGGGGACAATGGTGGGGACAGTGGGGACAGTGGGACAGTGGTGGGGACAGTGGTGGGGACAGTGGGGACAGTGGGGACAGTTGGGGAGAGTGGGACCGTGGTGGGGACATTGGCGGGGACAGTGGGGACAGTGCGACGGTGGTGGGGGCAGTGGTGGGGACAGTGGGGACAGTGGTGGGAACAGTGGGGACAGTGGGACAGTGGTGGGGACGGTGGTGGTGGGGACAGTAGTGAGGGCGGTGGTGAGGACGGTGGTGGGGCCCCGGAAGTCTTTTGCCGGCGGCGAGGAAGGGGGGTGGGGAGGTGGTTCGAACCGGTAGTGGCCCCCCCCCGGTTTTCTGGAGGGAGAGGGGGGGGGGATGGGGGGTTCGAATCGGTAGTGACCCCCCGGTTTTCCGGAAAAGTGGTGGGGGGGAGGGGTTAGGATGGAGGTTTGTCGGGGGAAGGTGTGAGGGGGGGAGGGGGGGGGGTTCGAGCAGGGGGGGGGATTTTCGGAGGAGGGGCGGGACCCCCAGGTTCCGGAAGAATACGGGGGAATTTTCCACAGTAAATCGGCGGTGGATCATTCTGAGAAGCCCTCCTCCCTCCCCCTGCCCCCTTGTCCCTCTGCCCCTTGTGCGGGCCACCACTTGTGGCTTCCCTGCTTCCCCAGCGCGGCTCTCTCGCGCAGGCCCGCCAGCTGGCCGTGCTGCCGGAGGAGGACCCCCTCCTCGACTCGCCGCAGCCAGCAGCGCCCTGCCGCGCGCGGGGCTGCAGGCTGACCAGCGCAGGTCCTCAGCGGCGAAAGACAACTTCCGATACCGCGCGATCAGACATCTGATAATACGTCGTCGTGGCCAGACGCTTCCTGGCCATGCCGCCCGGGTGACGATATGCTATGAGATGCCCGTGCCGCAGGTTCGGTTCGGGCGTGCTCCTCCAAGGGGGGCGCATGGTACTAGTGTGTCCTTCTGCAGCACGGCGGCGGGAGGCAAGGCACCCCTAGTGGTCTCCTTGGGGCTTCGAAGGCTGTCCGCCCTGGCACAACTTTTGTTTGCAGCAGGACTTCGCCCCACCCGCTGCAAGATATTGCGAAGGCCTTACGGCCAGTGCCGCCGACCCAGAAGGACGACCACGACGACGACCACGACGACAACGACAACGGCAAGGTGATGACCCTGCCGCAAGCTCGGGACATGGGGCGGGCGGTGGAGGGAGGTTCGCCGCACATGACATGCACTCATTGGCAGGCTCGCGTCGTGGACTATTCGGTGTCAGTTGGTCTCAGCTCCTAGATCTCCGCAGCTGCGCTCGCCACGACGCGCTCGCAGGATGCAGAGCAGCTGCTGGCGCGCCGCAGCGAAGACCGATACCACAGTGCCATGACCTTTCGGTGGTGGCTGGAACCCCCATCCAGACACGTCGATTAGTGAATTGTCCGTTTTCGGTACTCGAGAGGGCGCCGCGGCCGTCATTTTTTAGGCTTGCACCCGTCAGGTTGCCCCAGGAGGCCACAGGAAGCGCCAGGAAGCACCAGGAGGCCCCGGAAGGCACCAGGAGACCCCAAGAGGCCCTAGGAGCAGGAGGCCTCAAAGGCCACAGGAGTGGCTCCAATCCCATGGGTTTTACGTATCCTCCTATAGCTTGGGCCTCCCCTGGAGCACGAATCCTTGGTGCTTTAAATAAAATTATATAGGTTGTCCTTCTCCTGTGCATCCAATCCTACGTGTTTTACGTATGTTCCTATACATAGGGCCTCTCCTGGGAAACGAGTCCTTGGTGTTTCACGTGTCTTCCTATATATTGCCCTTCTCGTGTGGCTCCAATCCGCAGTGTTTTATGTACGTTTGATCCTACAGATTGGGCCTCTCCTGGGGCACGAATCCTCCCCAGGAGGCCCCAGGAGGCTCCAGGATGCTCCTGGAGGCCCAGGAAGCCACACGAGGCCCCAGGAGGCCTCAGGAGGCCACAGGAAGCCCTCAGAGACCCTAGGAGGTCCCAGGAGGCTCCAGGAGGCACCAGGAAGCCCCAGGAGGTTTCAGGAGGCCCTAGGAGGCCCCAGGCTCATACGCAGAGGCGCGCCCGTACTACTGAGACTCCAACTCACTCACAGTTATATTCACTCCCATACCGTCAATACTCAAGCCTGTTTATATTCGAAAACTCTTGCGCCTAGACACGGCGGACAGGTCCATGCTAATAGATTCACATATGGGGAGCTCCACGCAGTGAATACTTATGATGATGATGATGATGATGATGATGATGATGATGATGATGATGATGATGACGATGATGATGATGATGATGATGATGATGATGATGATGACGATGCTGATGATGATGCTGATGCTGATGCTGATGCTGATGCTGATGTTGATCCTGATGATGATGCTGATGCTGATGCTGATGCTGGTGCTAATGATGACGATGACGATGCTGATGATGATGGTGATGATACGGATGATAGTGCTGATACTGATGATGATGATGCTGCTGATGCTGCTGCAGCTGATGTTGATGCATATAATGATGATGCGGATGACGATGATGATGACGATGCTGACGATGATGCTGATGATGTTTATGATGCTGATGCTGATGATGATGATCTGATGATGATGCTGCTGCTGATGATGAGGATGACTGTGTTGACGATTCTGATGATGATGATGGTTCTGCTGCTGCTGCTGATGATGATGATGATGATCACGATGCTGACTATGATGATGCTGATGATGATGATTATGATGGTGATGATGCTGGTGCTGATGCTGATGCTGCTGCTGATGACGATGATTATAATGCTGCTGCTGCTGCGGCTGCTGCTGCTGATGATGATAGTGACGATGATGACGATGATGATGATGCTGACGATGATGATGATGATGATGATGATGATGATGATGATGATGATGATGATGATGAGGATCATGATGACGATGCTGCTGATGATGATGCTGATGATGATTATGATGATGAGTGATGATGCTGATGACGATGCTGATGATGCTGTCTATTATTATGATTATTACTTTTATTGTTATCAGTATGTTTATTGCTGTTATCATGATTATTATTGTTATTACTGTTATGTTTATTGTTATATTATTATTGTTATTTTTATTATGATGATGCTGATGCTGCTGATGATGATGATGACAATGATGCTGACGATGATGATGCTGATGATGATGAGTGATGATGATGATGAATATCATGATGATGATGATGATGATGATGATGATGTGATGATGCTGATTATTATGATGATGCTGATGATGCTGATGATGCTGATGCTGATTCTTATTATGATGATGATGATGCTGATGCTGATGATGCTGATGATGCTGCTGCTGATGATGATGATGATGAAGATGATGATGATGATGATGATGATGATGATGATGATGATGATGATGATGATGGTGGTGATGATGATGATGATGATGATGATGATGATGATGATGATGATGATGATGATGATGATGATGATGATGATGATGATGATGATGATGACGACGGAGCTGATTTTGAGACGCTTCGAGCGAGGTGATAGTTTCAGGACACCCAGGGGGGGCCGCCGGGGGTATCTCTCTCCTCCGTTGGCGTCCAGATTGCGGGGATGGCTCGAGCGGATTGCCTGTTTGTGCCTGCAGCATCCCATGCTTTCGGAGCAGATTTTTTGAGGATGTCTCGAGCGAGGCGCTGGTCTTCGCACACCCAAGGGGGCTCAGAGTGCGAGGATATCTCGAGCGGTTTGCTCGTTTTGCTGGCCAGACTCGTGGGCACGGATCGCGCCCCAGGAGGCCCCAGGAGGCTTCAGGAGGCCACGGGAGGCCCCAAGAGGCAACAGGAGGCCCCAAGAGGATCCAGAAGGCCCCAGGAAGCCCCAGGAGGCTTCGGGAGGCTCCAATATGTTCCAGGAGGCCACAGGAGGACACAGGATGCCCCAGGAGGCCACAGGAGGCACCAGAAGGCCCCAGGAAGCCCCAGGAGGCCCCAGGAGGCCCCAGGAGGTCACAGAAGGCCACAGAAGGCCATAGGAAGGGCCAGGAGGCACCAGGAGGCCCCGGAAGGCACCAGGATGCCCCCTAAGAGGCCCCAGGAGCAGGAGGCCTCAGAAGGTTACAGGAGTGGCTCCAATCCCGAGTGTTTCACACATGTTCCTATAGATTGGGCCTTCAGTGGTGCACGAATCCTTGAAAACTACTCTTCTCTCCCCCCTGATGACGTCCGGAAGATCTCCGGTCCCCCTCCGCGTAGTGTTTCTTACGCAAGATCTCCAGGATTTTTGTTGGTTCAAAATGTTGCTCCCGCTGAAGCGGTGGCCTCATTTTCGGGCTTCCGCTCGTCTCGAATCGTACTCCCGCTGCAGCGCTGGCGTCATTATTCCCAATGCCATGCGACGGTATGGTTTTTTGTCCTTCCAATCTCTAGAAAGTGGCCTCCCGAAAAAACCATTCGAAGTGATTACACATTCGGTGTCGGTTCGTTGGTTTTTTGTGCTGCAGAAGCACCCCCATCGCCATGCCATGCTATGTCATGCTACGCGTTGGCTACGACATCCGAGTGTGCGAAAAGAAGGGATGGTAAGGGATGGAAGGAAGGGGCAGGACGTCAGATATGACGCGAGCGCACCTAGCTTGAGATTGCCCCTCTCCTGCGGCTCAAATCCTAGGTGTTTTACATGTGTTCCTATAGATTGGGCTTCTCCAGGAGCACGAATTCTCCCCAGGAGGCCCCAGGAGGCTCCAGGAGGCTCCAGGAGGCTCCAGGAAACTACACGAGGCCCCAGGAGGCTTCAGGAGGCCACAGGAAGCCATAAGAGGCCCCAGGGGGCCCCAAGAGGCTCCAGGAGGCCCCAGGAAGCCCCAGGAGCTTCCAGGAAGCCACATTTGGCCCCAGGCTCATGCGCAGAGACGCACTCGTACTACTGAGACTCACTTGTCAATACTCAAGCCTGTCTGTATTCGAAAACTCGTGTGCCTAGGCACTCACGGCGGACAGGTCCATGCAAATAGATGCACATGTTTGGGATTCCACGCAGTGGATAGTTCCCCATATCCAAAAGGTGGGATAATTGTTACTTCTCCGACTGCGCCGACTCCTCCTTCTTTTCACCTCCCTTCTCCTCTTCCTCTCCTTCTCCTCCTCCTCCACTTCCTCTCCTTCCCTCTCTCATGCTGCTGCTGATGATGACGCTGATGTTGATGATGGTGGTGATACTGACGATGATACTGATGATGAGGATGTTGTTGATGATGATGATGCTGACGATGAGGATGATGCGCGTGATGATGATGCTGCTGATGATGATGCTGATTGATGGTGATGATGATGGTGGTGGTGGTCGTGATGATGATGATGGTGATGATGATGATGATGAGGATGGTGGTGGTGATGACGACGACGACGACGACGATGATGATGATGATCATGATGATGATGGTGATGGTGATGATGATGATGATGATGATGATGATGCTGATGATGCTGATGATGATGATGATGATGATGATGATGACGCTGCTGATGCTGATGCTGATGATGCTGCTGATTATGATGCTGCTGACGATGATGATGATGATGATGATGATGATGATGATGATGATGATGATGATGATGATGATGATGATGATGATGATGATGATGATGATGATGATGATGATGATGATGATGATGATGATGATGATGATGATGATGATGATGATGCTCGAGGAGCCCTAGGTGTTTCACAGATTCCTATAGATTCTCCTCAGGCTTGAAAAAGCGTGTTCTACCGCTGCTGGCGGAAAACTGGGGGGGGGGGTCACCGGGGGCTCCCAACCCGTCCCCCCCCTCGAAACACGTGGGGGGGTCATTACCGGTTCGAACCCCCTTCCTCCCGCCCCCCCCCGTCCATCATGAAGGGGGGGGGTCACTACCGGTTCGACTCTCCCCCCCCTCGCCGCAGGCAAACGATTCCCGCTCTTCGGGACAGTCGGACAGTGGTGGGGACACTGGGGCTGTGGTGGGGACGGTGGTGGTGGGGATAGTGGTGTGGGGACAGTGGGACAGTGGTGGGGGCAGTGGGACAGTCTTGGGGACGGTGGTGGTGAGGGGACAGGTGGACAGTGGTGGGGACAGTGGGGACACTGGGACAGTGGTGGGGACGGTAGTGGTGGGGACAGTGGTGAGGGCGGTGTTGAGCACGGTGGTGGGACAACGGGACAGTGGTACAGTGGGGACAGTGGTGGGGACAGTGGGGACAGTGGGACAGTTGTGGGGACAGTGGGGACAGTGGGACAGCACAGTGGGACAGCGGCGGGGGCTGTGGGGGTAGTGGGACAGTGGTGGGGACAACAGGGACAGTGGGACAGTGGTGGGGACAGTGGGGACAACGGAGAGAGTGGGACCGTGGTGGGACAGTGGTGGGTACAGTGGGTATAGAGAGACACTGGTGGGGACAGTGGGGACAATGGTGGGAACAGTGGGGACATTGGGACAGTGGTGGGGACGGTGGTGGTGGGGACAGTGGTGAGGGGACAGCGGGACAGTGGTGGGCACAGTGGGGACAGTGGGGCAGTGGTGGGGACGGGGTGGTGGTGGGGACATTGGTGAAGGCGGTGGTGAGGACGGTGGTGGGACTGGGACAGTGGTACAGTGGGGACAGTGGTGGGGACACTGGGGACAGTGGTGGGAACAGTGGGACAGCTCAGTGGGACAGCGGCGGGGACTCGGGTCAGTGGGGCAGCGGCGGGGACAGTGGGGACATTGCGACAGTAGTGGGGGCACTGGTGGATACAGTGGGGATAGTGGTCGTAACAGTGGGGACGGTGGTGGTGGGGACGGTGGTGCTGGGGACAGCGATGGGGGCGGTGGTTGTGGACGGTGGTGGGGACCGGGAGTCGTTTGCCGACGGAGAATGAGGGGGGTTTCGAATTGGTAGTGATCCTCCCCGGTTATCTGGAGGGGAGGGGGGGTGGTTCGAACCAGTAGTGACCCTCCCTGGTTTTCTGGAGGGGGGGAGAGGTTAGGGGGGGTGTTTGCCGGTGGAAGGGACGGGGGGAGGGCGGGGGGGGGGGTCGAGCAGGGGGGGGGAATTTTCGGAGGGGGGAGGGGGCCCCCCCGGGCTCCGGAGGAAGAGGGGGGGGGGAATTTTCCACAGTAAAGCGGCGGTGGATCACGCTCTCTCTCAGGCTTCAATCCTATTTTTTCAGGTCTATTCCTATATCCTATAGGTTGCCCTTCTCTTGAGGCCCGATTCCCACGTGCTCTCCGCATGTGCCTATAGATTGTCCCTCTCCTGGGACTGGAATCCTAAGTGTTTTACGTATGTTCCTGTAGATTGCCTCTCTCCTGGGGCTCGAATCCTACGTGTTTTACGTCTGTTCCTATCGATTGTCCCTCTCCTGAGACTCGAGTCCTACGTGTTATACATGTGTTCCCCAAGGGGCGAGATTGCGAGGACGTTTCAGGCGGTTTTGCCTGTGTCGGTGAAGCCCCAGGAAGCACTAGGCGGGCCCAGGAGGCCCCAGGAAGCCCCAGGAGGCCCCAGGAGGTTCCATGAGACCCCATGAAGCCCCAGCAGGCCCCAGGAGGCCCCAGGAGGCCCCAGGAACACCCAGGAGGTACCAGGATGCCCTAAGAAACCCCAGGAGGCCACAGGAGACTAGCGGGCCCATGAGGCCCCGGGAGGCCGCAGGAGGTCCCAGGAAGCTCCAGAAGGCCCCGGGAGGCCCCAGGAGGCCCCAGGAAGCCCCGAGAGGCTGTAGGGGTCTTCCTGGGGCTCGAATCCGAAGTATTTAAAGATGCTACTGTAGATTGCCCCCCTCTTGGGGTTCGAATCCTACGTTGTTTATGCATTTTACGTGTGTTCCTGTAGTTGGCCCCTCTCATGGGGCTCGAATCCTATGTGTGGTTGCACATGCTCCTGTACATTGCCCTTCTCCTGGGCCCGGGTCCCACGTGTTTTTCGGATGGTCTATAGATTGCCCTTCTCCTGGGTCTCGAATCCAACGTGTTTTACGCACGTTCCTGTATATTGCCCCTCTCCTGGGGCTCGAATCCTGTGTGTGTGTGTGTCTCTGCTTGTTTATTACGTGGGACCCTATCGCCCGTGAGCAAGAAACGTGCGTTTTGTCGTGCCTCCTCTCTGTTCTTTTCTCCCGCCTGCCCCGTCTTAGGTTTTTTATTTCCAGATTTTTTTTGCTCACGCTCAGGCTCGCATTCTCTCACGCTCAGACTCGCTTTCTGACTTTGTACTCAGACTCTGTCACTCTCAGATATGCTGGGCCGAAGCTCACACTCAGACTCACTCAGACTCAGACTCACGCTCACAGATATGGAGGTCTCCGCGTCGAGTACTTCTTCTTTCCGTTTTTTTCAACCTCCTTGGGGGCCCTTGTCGCCACGGCTAGACTCGCCGCGGACTCCTGGTTCGAACGCACCCCAGATGGGGTCCCTGGAGTAGCGGTAAGGGTATCTTTGTGATCCAGGGGAGTACGCTCTTGTTCCGAGACTCTGGGCCTCTGGCGGCTGGTTTCCTCTTCCTCTTCCTCCTCCTCCTCCTCCTCCTCCTCCTCCTCCTCCCCCTCCACCTCCTCCCCCTCCTCTTCCTCCTCCTACTCCTCCTCCTCCTCCTCCTCCTCCTCCTCCTCCACTCCCTGCAAACATGCGCAAGATGAGAAGCTGGCCCCAAGGGCAGGGGTCGAGAGGTCGGTGATCCACGTTTTGCAGAAGTCGAGTCGTCGGCCCACCCCGCCGCCGTGCCTGGGCTGCGGGTCGGAATCCCGTGCCTCCGGGGGGGGATGCCTCTGGGGTCTCTTCGGGGGCCCCTGGGGATGCCTCTTGGGGGCCTCTGGGGGTGCCTCTTGGGGGCCTCTGGAGATGCACGTCGGGGGGCCTCGTGGGGGCCTCGTGGGGGCCTCGTGGATGCCTCCAGAGCCTTTATGGGGCGCCTTCAAGGGCATTTTTGCGAAATCGGGGGCCACGCTGGTGCAAGACGGCCCCCGGGCAAATGCGGGTTCTCTTATCTGGGGCCGAACACATCCATATCCACAGTTTTGGAACTGTGCTCCCCAATTAACGATGCGACTTTTACGTGATTCTGCCCCATCATTCATTTTGCGTGTGAGCTCAGCACATCCCAGCCCAGCCGGTTTCGCTCCCCCTCATCCCTGTCAAATAATGTCATGTATGCGAAATCGTTCATTTCACAAGATATGCTTCAATCATGCCTAGCAGCAAATGACAGTCCTCGCGCGCGCACATGTCGAAATCATTCCAAACAGAGTAGTCCTGCAATCGTTTCAATGTAGAATCATCAACTACTTTCGTAGGCTGTCACCACACATCGTGCAGATTTTAGGCCCGTGCTCGTTTGCTGAGCTCAATGCAGCATTCTTTGATGTCAGCACTCTCGTCCAGAACCCGCATCTCCACCTCACAACGCGGTGCAGCTGAGTTGATCTAGCATGCGCCCAGAGCACGAGTCCGTATCAAACAAAACCATGCGGGCCGCGCGCGCTGCCACGCTTGCGTATCTCCGTCATTAGCCTCGCCGTCGTCATCGTCATTCGCCACCACCATCGCTACTTTCATCATTGTTGCCACCGTTGTCGACGTCGTCATGATACCGGCCCGCCCGAGCCACCGACCCGCACTGAAGTGCCTGAGCGCCAGTGCGGCCTTCGAGCCGCGCTGAGAAATTCCCATCGGTAAACGCCGTCGCGGCCACATCAGATGTGCCACACCAGCTGGCCGCTCTGAGCGCGAGCTGACGCGCGCTAGTGCAGCCGCAGAGATGCGCCAACCAGTATCAAGTAATCACCGCAATGCAGCCGCATGGGTTATGCAAAACAAGTTGTGGGCGTGAGCAGTGGAGTTGACGATTTCAAGTGCTGCGTGGGTTGGCACCGCCTACTCAGCTCACACCACATAGATTGCAGTACGGTGCTTGCGCCGCATAGCTTGTATCACGTAGCCGGCACATCAACAGTGTAACGACTTATTGTTTAGGGCCCGCGCGGGCAAACATTCGATCATCACAAATTCAGTGCCTCCAGGCCTGGCGGTGAAAAGTTGGCGTCCTCCCAGGTTCGCTCTCTTTCCTTGCTGTGGCTGCCTTGGCCGGTGCCGGGTGCTGGCTCTGGAAGGGCACGGAGTCGAGGAGACCGCTGTCGCAGGCACAGTTGCCACATTCCATCGGGCAGGCCGAGGGCAAGATCGCTTCCGACGGTCACGAAGCTCTTCGGGCTTCCGCTCGTCACCATTCACATGGCCACAGGAAGGCCACAGCGGGTGCGTCTCACAGCAGGGAGCCGAAGCGCAAAATCCCCGCAACCACGCTCACCACGACCACGTCCACCACCGAGCACGAGGCCGACGGCGGTGATAATCCCTTGCAGCAGATCCAGCACTGGCCAGGCTGGGAAGTCGTGTTTCCCTGGATCACTACGGTGACGAGCACAACCACAACCACCACCACCACGACCACCACCTACACTGGGACAACGACGCGCACAACGACGACAACGAGCACTACGACCAACACCACCACCACTACCACTTCCACCACGCCTTGTCAGGCTGTTGCCGATGGTGACGCCTGTTACCTCGAAATTGTGGGGGCGATGCACGGCCTCCGTGCGAACCCAGAAGCGTACGAGAACCTCACGTTGTGGTCCACCTTCGAGGAGGTGCAGTCATGGCTCCACCGTGGCGGATCGTCGGAGTGCACCCTTCCGTGCGAGTGCGAAACCACGCAGTACGACGACAGCTGCTACGGCTCCGTCGAGTGGGCCTTCACCACGGGCATGCAAGAGCACCCCGATTGGTATCCAGACATGGACCAGCAGACGCCCCTCGAGACTATCCAGGCGCACGTGGCAAAGTACGGGGACGAGTGCGGGCAGCCTTGCAGGCCCCGATACACCGCCGAGAGGACGAGCCTGTTCTGCTTCTCCATCACTAGGCCCGATGGCTACGAGCGCGCGGTCATGGAGGCGCAGCATGCGCGGGGAGCTGGCATATTCGGTTGCGATGGGCACGCGGTACTCAGCTCCAAGGTCTTCAGCATAGGCGAGCCAGACCCCGACAGGCCAGACGGACCCAAGCAGGCCCTGAACACGACCCTGTTCCATCCCGCGAAGGTGGGAGTCTCCAAGGATGGCACCGCCGCGAACACGTTACTGTTCATGCACGCCTGGGACGTGGTCAAGAACAAGACCCTCGCGCTGCACTATAACTGGGTCATCAAGGCGGACCCCGACGCGGTGATCCTGCCTGATCGACTGCGGAAGCACCTGTCGCCCTTCGACGGCTCGAAAACCTACGTGCGCAACTGCAACGCGGTGCCCGAGTCGGCCGACTTCCCAATGATGTTCGGGTCCCTGGAGGTTCTTTCGAGCCTGGCCATGAAGGAGTATTTCCACGGCGGCGAGCATAAGTGCAAGGAGCAGCTCGACTGGAAGTCCTGGGGCGAGGACTACTTCCTGGGGAAGTGCATGCTTCTCCTGGGTGTCGCGCCGGTGGACAACTTCAACATCATCAGCGACGGTGTGTGCATGGGAGTGGACTGCACCGACTCGACCGCCGCGGCCTTCCACCCTTTCAAAAGCGCGGACGAGGCTCGTCCCCTTGTCCCTCCACACTCCTCCTCCTTCTCCTCCTCCTCCTTTCCGATCCCCTCCCTCCCTCCGTCCTGCCTCCCTCATCCTTCTGTCCCCCTCCCCCTCCCTCCAAGTGGGTGACGTGCTGGAAGCAGGCGACCCGCGACGGCCACATGTCGCTCGTGCCCCTCCCCGAGATCGCCTCCTGAGACAGCGAGATGTCCAGAGGTGGAAGAGGATGACTATGACGATGACGATGACGACGATGAGGAGGATGGTGATGATGACGAAGACGACGACGATGACCACGACCACGACGCCCACGATGACGACGACCATGACGACGACCGACCATGATGATGACGGCGACGACGACGGCGACGACGGCGACGACGAGGACGACGACGCCGACGATGACAACGATGGTGACGATGATGATGATAATGATGATGATGATGATGATGCTGATGATGATGATGATGATGATGATGATGATGATGATGATGATGATGATACTGATGATACTGATGATAGTGATACTGATGCTGATGATGATGATCTGACGATGATGATGGTGGTGATGCTGATGATGCTGCTCCTGTTGATGTTGACGATGGTGATGATGATGATGCTGATGATGATGATGATGATCATGATGATGATGATGATGATGATGATGATGATGATGATGCTGATGATGATGATGATGATGAGAGTAACGATGATGCGGATTCTGATGATTACGATGAGTATGATGCTGATGCTGATGCTGATGCTGCTGCTGATGATGATGACGCTGTTGCTGATGCTGATGATGCTGCTGCTGCTGATGATGATGGCGATGACGATGCTGATGATGATGATGATCATGCTGAGGATGCGGATGAGGATGAGGATGATGATGCTGATGATGTTCATGCTGCTGAGGATGATAATGGTGATGCTAATGATGATGCTGCTGCTGACGTTGATGCTGACGACGACGACGCCGCCGACTACGGCGCTGATGCTGATACTGATGATGATGCTGCTGCTGAGGATGATGGTGATGCGGATGCTGCTGCTGATGATGATGATGATCATTATGATGATGCTGATGATGTTGATGGTGATGATGATGATGATGTTGTTGTTGTTGTTGTGATTGCTGCTGCTGATGTGATGCTGCTGACAGTAATGACGATGATGACGATGATGCTGCTGATGCTGATGATGTTGCTGATGCTGATGCTGATGCTGCTGCTGATGCTGATGATGCTGATGATGCTTGTGAGGACGATGAGGCTGATTATGCTGATGATGATGCTGCTGATGCTGATGCTGATGCTGATGCTGCTGATGATGATGATGATTCTGATGCTGCTTCTGATTTTGCTGCTGATGATAATGGTGATGCTAATGATGATGCTGCTGCTGAAGCTGATGTTGACGACGACGCCGCCGACTACGGCGCTGATGCTGATACTGATGATGATGCTGCTGAGGATGATGGTGATGCTGATGCTGCTGCTGATGATGATGGTGACCATTATGATGATGAGGATGCTGATGATGATGATGATGATGATGATGATGATGATGCTGATGATGATGATGATGCTGATGCTGATGGTGATGATAATGTTGTTGCTGTGACTGATGCTGCTGATGTGATGCTGCTGACAGTGATGACGATGATGACGATGATGCTGCGGATGCTGATGATGTTGCTGATGTTGATGCTGATGCTGCTGTTGCTGATGCTGCTGCTGCTGATGATGATGATGATGCCGTCGTTTTTGTTGTTGCCGCTGCTGTCGCTGGTGTTGTTGGTGGTGGTGATGCTGTGACTGATGATGTGATTGCTGATGATGATGACGATACTGATGCTGTGGATGACGATGATTATGGTGATGATGAGGATGATGATTCTGATGATGATGCTGATGATGATGTTGCTGGTGATGGTGGTGATGCTGATGATGATCATCATGATGATGATGACGATGATGATGATATTCATGATGAGGATGCGGATGCGGATAATGATGACGATGATGATGCTGATTATGATGATGATGTTGCTGCTGCTGATGCTGCTACTGCTGATGCTGCTGCTGATGATGATGGTGGTGGTGGTAGTGATGGTGAGGATGATGATGCTGATGCTGATGCTGATGCTGATGATGATGATGATGAAGAAGATGATGATGATGGTGATGATGATGCTGCTGCTGCTACTGCTGATGATGATGATGATGACGATGATGCTGATGCTGCTGCTGATGATGATGCTGCTGACGACGATGAGAAGCACGAGGATGATGAGAAGGAGGAAGTGGAGGAGGAGGACGAGAAGGAGGATGAGGATGAGGAGGAGGGAGGATGCGGAGAGGGGAGTGAGGACTGGGGAAGAGGAGGAGGAGGAGGAGGAGGAGGCGGAGGCGGAGGAGGAGAGGAAAGGAGAGGAGAGGAGAGGAGAGGAGAGGAGAGCAGGAGGAGTCAACTTAGCCAGGGCGAGAGAGTCACCGGGTCCCTCCCATAACATCTTCCCACAACATCTTACACATTTGTGAAGCAATGCGCTGCACTTCAGTATTGTAAGTCGCGTGAGGAGTTCGTTGTATTCCCCAATCAGGGTTTCCCTCTGTAGCAGTCCTAGCGGATTCATTTGGTTAGGTGAGGTTTGGCGCCGATTTCGGCGGCACTCCCGGGTGCCCAGGTGCCCGGGTGCCCGGGTGCCCGTGTGCCCAGTAGCCCCATAGCCCTATAGCCCTATAGCCCTATAGCTTTATAGTCTTAGGGCCCTATAGCCCTATAACCCGATAACCCTATAGCCCTAAAGCCGTATAGCCCTAATAGCCCTATAGCCTTGTAGCCCTATAGCCCTATAGTCCCATAGCCCTATAGATCTGGTAGCCTTGGAACCCTATAGCCCAACAGCGCTACAGCCGTATAACCCTATAACCTTATAGCCCTGTAGCCATATAGCCCTATAGCCCTATAGCCCTATAACACTATAGTCGAATCGCCCTATATCCCTACAGCCCTATAACCCTTGCAGCCCTATAGCCCTATGGCCTTATAACCTTATGTCCTTATAGCCCTATAGCCCTATAGCCCTAATAGCCCTGTATCCCTATACCGCTAGATGCCTATAGCCCTGTACCCCCATCGCCCTATAGACCTATAGCCCCATGGGCCTATCGCCCTATAGACCTATAGCCCTGTAGGCCTCAACATTTGTATGTTCGGGTGTTTCTACGGTATCATACAGTTCCTTTTGTTTTTGAATGGGCGGGGTGGGGGCGTTCCTTGTCCTCCTTGTTGCCCTGTCCTCACTGCCTCCACTTCTGCTGCTGCTGCTGCTGCTGTCGTCGTCGTCGTCGTCGTCGGCGTCGACCTCCTCCTTTTCCTCACCTTTCACTTCGCTCCCTTTCCTCCTCCTCCCTCCCCTCGCTTTCCTCTCCTCTTCTTCTGCTCTTGTTCTCTCTTCTTCCCCTCCCTCCCTGTCCTTCTCCCTCCCTGCATTTTTGTCCCTGTCGCTGGGGGGAGTGGAGGAAGAGAAAAGGAAGACCCGAGGATCCGAGGAGGACGAGGGTGAGGGAGAAGAGAGGAGGAGGAGACGAGCAAGGAATCGCGAATTCGATGCTCGAACTGACAATGACAAGTCACGGCAGGCCTGCGCGTATTTTCAACCGCACGCCTCCGCTGCCGGCGAAGTGGTGCTCCGCCGCCCTCTCCGGCGATAAGACGAATTCGAAGGTCCTTGGCTTGCGCGCCTCGAGACGTGCCAAATTCGGGCTGAAGCACGCACTTGGCAGAAGGGTCGCACCATGAAGGGAAGGTGTCCTGGAGTACAGTCGGACCGAGGCATGATATCGAGGTCGGTCTGGGGAGGCTGCCCTGAGGAGCTCCTTCGTGCCTGTTGGGTGTTCTTGTGCATACTGGGGAGGGTGCTCTTGTACGTTCTGTGTGTTTTGGCCGGCGGAGGGCCTCGTGTTCTTGAAGAATGTTTTTCTGGCCTCGGTCCGGCTGTAGAGGGTCCTGGAGGCTCTCCCCCGCCTGCGTCGAGTAGAGGCTCCTGGAGTAGAGGCTCCTGGAGCAGCGGGTCCTGGAGGATCTCGGGGTCCTCCCCAGGCCCCCAGGATCGTCAGGAAGCGAGTCGGCCGGGCAAAGTTGGGCTCACGCCAAGAGATAGCCTTGATCACCAGGTAGAATTTCGAGAACCTTGAGAGTACCGAAACTGGAGGGTTTTCACGTGCCGGGGGCCTGGGAGACGATACTCGTTCGACACTGTTTCGATACTTTTCTGGGTGCTCGAAATTATTTCTGGGATGTGGTCCGTAAGTACGATGGGAGCAACATAAGCCAAGAGTGTCGAGGGTTGGCACGCACCACCAGTCCTGGGGAAGGCCCCGGGGTCCAGGATCCAGTTCCGCCAGGATCCCTTTATTTTGTGCCAGAAGTTTCGCGGAGTTTCGCGATGTAGTACGCAACTGGGCAGAAGGGTTAGAAGTGGATTCGAATGATGCTGAGGGGCGGAGACGCGCGAGCTCATCGGAATTGAGAGAATTCGCTCGGACACTGCCAAAGGCAGTGCTCTAGCCATGCCAATGTGGTACTGGCCAGCAGTGCTACTTTGCTTTGCTCGCGTCGCTCTGGGTTAGGACGGCGCTCATTTGCAAAAAGTCGATGCTCGCTATCCCAAGCAACGGTCCCGTGCACGGGCTCGCCTACTGCAACTTGGCCGGTGCGCAATTCTTTGCCTGCTCAATTCTCATGTGTCTCCTCCCCCTTCTCGCCCCCTGATTCTCTGGTTTTGCCCTGCAGGTTCGGTGAGCAAGATCCTTTTTTGGACTGAGTCGTCGCTGCATCGTGGAGGGCTGAGATCCACTTGAGCTCCTCAGGCCCGGCCGCGCTCTGAGGGCGTCCAGCATTTCACCTCAGGCGACCTTCCTTTCTCCTGCTCGAGACTTCGGGTGATCCTTATCCTTTCTCCCGCTCGAGGAGGCGAGGATGGGAGGGGGAGGAGGAAAGGAGGAGAAGGAGGAGGAAGAGGGGGAGAGCAGGAGGAGGATGAGGAGGATGAGGAGGAGAAGGTGCTAGTTTATTGCGCTCCGACCTGGTACGCAGGATCTGTTATGGAGCTTGTAGAGAGTGTCGTTTAGACATTTTAGTGGTACAGTTTATTCGTTGTCTCAACTTTTTGGCTCAAGTGTTGTTTTCC